AGGGGGGAACTACACCTTCCAGGATTATTGTGGACAACTAGCAATAAAACATTCATCAGACCTCTGCCAAAGGAAGTCCTTAAACACAAATTCTTAAACACCAGGCTGTTGCTACAGCTGGATTCTCAGCAGAGCCTAGTCTTTCCTTTATTAAATTGGCATCATTACCCTTGCTGCTTGACTTTGAATGCTCGCTCAGATGAGCCTGAGATTTGTGAGGTCGTATCTGCATGACCACACTGGAGAACTAAGGCAATTATGCGGATAATTCAGGCAAGAGCCTGGCTTTGCTTAAGTTCCATAATCACCTGAAAAGCCTGTTTTTCAGAGTATCTCCAACGGCACATTCAGACAAAAACAATTTTGTTTTCTGGATGACTGCCTCAGTCTTTTGGCCCTGTGACTTTAGCCCCAGTGGAAAAGTGATATTCATCATGCTCTGGTCCTGAGCCTGTGGAATCAATAAACAAGGCATCGCGATCAGGACCAGTAATGGGTCCAACTGTGCACAGCAGGAAAAAAGGGGGAAAAAGCCTCCAGCGTGGCCCACTCTCCCTTAGCAGCCCCTTTGCCCTGCTGCCCGCTCTGTGGACAGAATTCAGACAAGACAAGTTAGCCTGGGCTGGGCCCTGTCCCTCCCTCATTCCTTTTCTGGGGTAATGGTCATCACTGCAGAGGTAAGTCTTCCTTGCATTTAAATAGCACAGGAACCTTCCCTGCACACATCAAACTAATGAAAACCTTGAGTCAGTGTTGGTGAGAGGCGTTGGGCTACTTTGTGCAAGCCAGCTTGGTGGCTATTATTTGCACTGTGAGCATGGTCAGGACATGTGAGTGATATGATTTGGAGGGTATGAGGAAGTGCCATTGCACCAGGGTGCCTGGAATTCTACAGTCAGAGACGTATTTCTTCAGCTCTTCAGGTATTTTCCACCTTTAAGAGTGCTTGAGTGGCTCAGCTGGTTAAGCATCTGACTTTAGCTCAGGTCATGATCTCATGTTTCATGGGTTCAAGCCCCGCATGAGGTTTACCACTGTCAGTGCAGAGTCTGCTTCAAATCCTCTGTCCCCCTCTCTCTGCCTCTCTCCCACTCATGCACGCATGTGCTCACTGTTTCTCTCTCTCAAAAATAAACATTAAAACAATTTTTTAGGGACACCTGGGTGGCACAGTCCAACTTGGGCTCAAGTCATGGTCTCATGATTTGTGGTTTGAGCCCCACATTAGGCTCTGTGGTGACAGCTTGGAGCCTGGAGCCTGCTTCCGATTCTGTGTCTCCCTCTCTCTGCTCTTCTCCCACTCACACTGTCTCTCTCTCTCTCTCTCTCAAAAATAAAAATAAACATTAAAAAAATTAATTGTTTTTAAAAAGAACTTCCTACTAAAGTCTTATCTCTAAGAGAAGGGATGTTTCCTTAGGAGCGCTAGTGCAAATAATGAGAGCAAATGATTATTCAGCATTCAGACTATGCTCCTTCATCTTCACAATCTCCTTGTGTGGGAGGTGCCGTTGTCGTTCTCCATTTACAGATGGGGAGCCCAAGGGACAGAGAGGCTCAGTAACTTGTCCCAAACCTCACAGTGAAGAAATGAAGGGACCAGTATTGAAACTGGGCAGTCTATTAAAAGTCTGTGGCATAACTGCCCCTCTTTTCTGCATTTGGGGGCAAAATTGGGTTCCTCTTCAATGCTGGCAACTCAGCAGGAAAAGTGGGTGCAGCTGAGCTAGTTTGGAGAGGGTGGAGGAAGTATGGATGGAACAGAACCCAGGAGGGAGAGTAAGGGGTCAGCCCTGACTGCCACCAATATCAAGGTCTTTCCCAGAATGCCTGGAGGAAGACAGCCCTTCTGGTCCAGGGTTGCCTTGGGTTGAGGAGTCTTGCTTTGTCCAAGGGCCATGCAGTTGAGTGAGCACACATAGCAAGAGGGACACAGATACAGACATGAGGCAGGACATGCTCAGTGGACCCAGACTCCTTGCGACCGAGTTCTGGCTCTGCTACTTTTGAAAAGAGTGACCCCTGGACATGCTGCTTTCCTAAGGCCAAGTGGAAGGAAGAGACATCAGATATGGAGGGAAGTAGTTGTCAAGGACAGATAGCCATGGCTATTATAAATGCAGACAACTCTCTTTTCATGACCACAGCCCTCTCTCTAATCCTGAGAGTGAAGGTATCAGCCAGTAGTGAGAGCATATTGTAAAAGCTGAAAAACATTAATTAGACATGATACGGTACATTTACCTCTGCTGTTACAGTTTACCAATTGTTTGTTCTGCCCATCTCATTTAGACAGAGAAGACATCTAAAATAGTTACGTGGTGAGCTAACTTTGCAAGGCCAAAGTGTTTATAGAAAGATTTGTCCAGAAGCCAGGCAGAGAATCTGTGGGCATCAGACACTGAGGGCTAAGAGCGTCTTTTCATTTAGAGAAATTAAGGTAGAGAAGTGGTTGGTGGCCAGGATCCAAGCCAGTGTTGGTTGGGATAGCTTTGGGGGAGGTTCTAATTTATCAGGTTGGAAGTTTCATTTCAGAGGCAGTCAAAGTCCAGTATTTTCAAAGACAAGCAAGCTAAATGTAGATCAATGGCCAGAACTGTTGGTGAAGGATGTAACCCATCATTATATGTGGTCACAGTGTCCCCGGAAACCCTACTACCTAACAGAAGTCTCAGTATACAAGCCTTGCCTCTCCAGCATGTCACACAGCACAGGTATGAGAGAAGACTGAATCCCTAATAGTTAAAAAAAAAAAAAAAAGTATTTCTTTGGGGAAAGGAAACAGATTATATCAGGGCAAAATCACACCTGACTAATTTCTTAGAGTTTGATGTAAAAGTGAATAGCTTTGTGGATATAATTTATGTAGACCTTCAACAAAACTTTGTCTTGTCGAAGGTTACTCTGGAACACTGACTTTCTGCGAAATTGGTGAGGATGTAAATTACAGTCATGAAGAAGGGATTGCTTTCGGGGTGACAAACAGCAGGAATGGGGCCCCCTGGAAACATACAGCATGGTGGCCCAGAGGAGGAGACCCCCAGGCTTGCCAAGAACACTAAATTCTTTTGCGTCTAAATCATCAAATTAGTAGAGAGAGATTCCAGGAATGACATTGGGTAGGGTCCATAAGTAACAGACAAGCACTGATTAGTCTTTCAATAACAATGTGAACATTCACAATTATTTAGCGAGTGCCTGTGTCTGGCCCCTGCTCCCAGTGCCTTGTCACCTGCAATCTGACCCCTTGAAAGAGCCCTGCAAGGCAGATATTTCTATTTCTAGAATGAGAAATGAAACTTGGAGACACCTCCGGGGTCTTTGTCCTTTTGACAGGATATTAAATTGCTTGGGCTCCATACAAAATACTACAGACTGGCTGGCTTAAAATTTCAGAAATGTATTGCACACAGTTCTAGAGGCTACAAGTCCAAGATCAAGGTGCTCGCAGGGCTGGTTTCCTCTGAAACCTGTCTCCCTGGCTTGGAGACAGACGGCCATCTTCTTGCTGTGTCCCCGCGTGGACTTCCCTTTGCCCACACGAACCCTCGGTGTCTCTTGTGTGTGTCCAAATTTCCTTTTCCTATAAGGAAACCAGTGCGATAAGATTAAGGCCCACCCTAAAGGCCCCATTTCAACTTCATCACCTCTTTAAAGGCCCCATCTCCAGATACATTCTGAGATACTGGGGGTTAGGGCTTTAATGCATGAATTTGGGAGGACACAACGTAGCCCAAAGCAGACAGCAACTAGGGTGAACTATGGGGAACCATGGGATTGGAGAGTGGAAGATATCTTTTCATTTAATGGCAGACGCTGGAAGGGCAGGGAGTGTGGAGAGGTCAGAGGGTGAGGGATGGCTCCCCAAAATAAGCTGTGAGGAGAGAGAGCACTTCTCCTTCCCTCCTTCCTACATGCCTTCCCTTCCATCTCATGTGGAGGCTTGAGTCTTCCACAGGTCAAAAACACCACGTTGCTGTATTCATTTTCTTCACCCTAGGGTCTAAAATACAGAGTTGTAATAGGAGACGAGCCCCCCCACCCCCATCCCACTGCAGGGCCAAATCAGAGCTCTGGAAAGCGGCTCCAAACACAACATCATTCCATAGCACATAGTTGAGGTGGGGTGTGTGGAATGGGGCTAAAGTTATTTGAATTCTTCTCGAGGCTGACATCTCTACAACCCTAGGCACAAAAAGCCCTCTCTCTGCATTCAGTTTGTAGCAAAGTAAACAATTTGTAGCAAGTAAACAGGGTGTTCATTGTGTTGGTGTTCTGTGGCCTGAGCTTCAAAGACACCTTTTGTTTTAAAGGATATTTAAAAATTCTTCATTAGCTGTAAAGTTATTTTAAAAACCCTTTCCCAGACACCCAAAAACCTCTCATAAAAAAAAAAAAAAATTATGAATAACAAGGAATGGTCATTTGTGGCCTTGACTTCTAGTCTGGTCAAGTCCACAGGGTTTGTGGGGCACTTTGGGGCACCAGTTCCGGGCGACATGCAGAGAGCAAGACCGGGAGAATGAGCCGGACTGTGAGAGAAGAGTAGAAAGCATGGTGACAGGGACACCATCCTGTGGGGACAGTAGAGCTCTTGCCATGTACAATTTTGCTTGGGAATGATGTGGCGGAAAACGCGGGGCCACGGCTTTGCACAAACCCAGGGGGCGTCCTTTGCCCTGGCCCAGCTGAGCCATTTGTCTAAGCCGCAGTGTTAATGGAAACCCTGCGGTGGAGTAAAATGGAGGTATACCAGGGCCCAGCCTGAGTGCCATCAAACCATCAGCATGACCCCGAGTGCTCCCACGGGTACCGTGAGAGTGACCCCCGGGGCCCAGTCCCCAAGGCCCCAGGGATCCCGTGGTTGGCCTTTCGAGAGGTGGTGGCCAGCTTCCCCACAAGGGCGTACCTCCTGTCAGGTCCCCCCATCTCCGTAAACATGTCTCACTGCCTCACAAGAAGCTCCCGCTGGCCCACGGCCCATGGGCTGGTCAAGATCGAAGGAACATCCAAGTCACCTAAGTCACGTCCCTCCTTGCGCAGGGGCCGTGCTAATCTTCTCGGTACTACTCCAATTTCAGTACACGTGCTGCCAAAGTGAGCAGTCATGTCCCTCCTTATGGAGAGAAGGGAACTGAGACCAAGAGAGAGGCCAGGGTCCAAGGCCCCACAAGAAGTGAAAGGCAGAGCTGGGTGAGTGTCCCTCCCACTTCCCTCCTCCAAAGCTTTGTCATCATGACCCCTGCCTTCTCTGCTGTCAGCTAATTCCTCAGTTTCCACAATGAGAACCAGGACCCTCTGTCTGAAGGCATTCACTCCCATTACAATATAAATACGTTAATACTCACCCCATTTCAGACCCTATCTTAGGAGCAGATTTCACAAGTGAGAAGGTGAGACCCTAAGCTGTTCTGAGTGGTGGTGATGGAGAAGGGGGTGTGCCCCCCCCCAGGAAGATGGGCAAGAAACAGGGGGAGGGCAGAGAGGGGCCCAAGACAAGTTTGCACACTACACAATATTGCCTCCATCTGGCCTCACTTGGATGGTCTGAATGATTTTGATATTATCCAGAAGACTTAGGATGCTGACCAAAGACTTCTCCAGATGCTCAGAAGTTGTACTTCCAAGCATAATTCTTGGCTCTCCGAGAACCACAAGTAATTGATGACACCCCCCGCCTTTTCCACATCCTATTCTTTCCAGCTCCCGAACAGATAGATTTTCCTGTTTGTAGACTCATTCATTCCAGGCTTTGCGGTAATCTCAGAGTTGTCAAACGCAAATGCAGTGTGGTCGCATTCATCTGCGGTCACCTGGTCCTCATTAGGGCCATCGGAGGAGGCCAGGGACTGGTTTTGTGATTAGCGATCCCTCCTCCACGCGGGCCTGAGAGCTCTCAGCAGCCTTTTGTTGTTTGCATGGAGGCCTTGGAGAACTCTGCCAGGCTCGGCTCAACATTTTCCACATGACTGATGGCATTCAAAGCTTTGCAATCCCAATAGGCAAATTTCTTGACTGGCTTTGTTGCTCGTTGGTTCAGGTGGAATAAGAAGGCTCTTTCTGCCAGGAATGTCAGTGTGTGGTTGAGAAGCTGGCATTTTTCTATAAGGAGGCAGGGAAGCCAATTGGTAAGTGCCTGGGTGCCTGGGTGCCCGGGTGCCTGGTGCCAATAGTCAGAAAGGTTATTTCAGTATTCCTCATTCTTAGTGAGGCAGAGATGATTCGTCCTAGGGACAGGGTGGGCCAACAGAGGGGATCTTCCTGGGGGGCTCATGCTGTTGTGAGCCAAGCTGTTGCAAAGCTCTGCTTCGTGCATTCCCCTAAGGCCATGAGGGGGCTGGGCTTGGGGTAGGGTGGAGGGTGCTCTGGGATTTGTCTTCCATTTCTGCAGCTGTGAGAATGGCTTGGCCTCTGCCAAAGTCTTTTGTTCCATTTTTCTCTTGCTTCATTGGGACATTTCCGGAACCAAATATATTCAACTAGTCCTCAGCTTCAGGAGGTAATTGAATATCCAAATGCTGATCCTTCCATTGTCCAATGACCAGAACCAGCTGAAACACCCAATTTTGCAAAGCATTATGCTCCAGTCTTTCCCCTCATTACCTCTTCCAATTATAAAGTCTTCACATCCTTTTCTTATTGAGGTGTGCGAGGCCCACATGAATTCTGAGAATTCTTATATTGAATTCCATCCTTCATGCACACAAGTCTCTTTCTCTTGGGGAGTTCTGTCCCACTGTACTTTGACATGGATTCCAAAGTCTGCATCTTACCGAAGACAGACTATTGTAATTATTATTTTGAAACGGACACATTTCTCAGCTCTTGGATCTGAGCCTGAAGATAAACACGGGTACTCAGGGGCCTTGAAATCCACACTCGCAGCGTGCTGATCCTCGCAGGCCTGTTAGATCCGTGCCAGACTAAACATAAAGCTGGCGCTCCCTCCGCAGGCCAACACTTTGGGGCTTTTGTCAACTGGGCAGGAGTGCAAATCCTTGAAGATTCTCTCCACGGAAAGCCTCTTTCTTTATGTCCTTTGGCTTGAACCTTGGCTGGGGTTGGCAACGTGGCCTTGAGCTGCCCTGGGATGCCTTGACATTTCCTCATTTGGGCCTCTGGGGTCTTCACTCTAAGATGCATATCTCAGGGAGCAGGAAGGAGCGGTGACCATGCTCTTGTTTCTTGACCTCTGGGATGGTGAAGAAGCTTTGGGGTACAGAAAGGTCCCAAGCTCCAGGCCGTGGCCAGTTTCTGACCACATGGGTGGAGGGGGAATCAGAGAGGTAGGTTTTGGAGGGGCGATGGCAAACAAGCAGGGAGGGTGAGTTCATTATGACCCTGTGCTAAAGGTGCATCTGAACACCTGGGAAGCTGCACCCCTTGACCTAGCCTGGTACTTGCAGACATTCAAAGCCATTAGCCCTGCAGCCACACGTGGTGATTAGAAACCCGACTTGGTCCAATATGGCCCCCCCCCCCCCGAGTATCATTTACAACCCTCTTGAGCTGTCTTTGCAGATCTGGGCAGTGCAGGTCAGTGTCCTGGGTGGTGGCCTGCCATGGTTCTTCCTATAGAGGCTACGTCCACAGTCCTCCCTGATGCTGCTGCTGCTGGCTTTCCTTAAGATTCCTATAACCCCATTGCACAACCCTGACCAGAGAAGAAAGGAGAAACCCCTCTATTCAGGGAGTCTCCTCTTTTAAGCCTGACTTGATTTCTTAATCTCAACCAGTCCCTCCCCTCC